TTTTATGTTAATTTTAATAAAGGCAGAGTTTGACAGGCTCAATAATTGATTCCGAAATCAATACAATCACTGATCCTACAAGGCAGAAGGTTGCAATTCGTATACCTTTCTCCATCATTTCTTCACAATATTTTACGCCCATCCTTATCCGACTTGAAAGTCTTTTCGTCGCTCAATATGATTACACTGTTCGCCCAATCAAAATTAATAAAGTCCTTAGCAAATTCTTAGCGCTTTTGCTGGTGAACCACAGATAACAATATTTTCTTCTCTGGCTTCCTGCACCTTAAACCAGAATGCAGGTGTCTCCGTACAGTTTGTATTAAAACATTCAGTGCTGTCGCTGTAGTGCGGGTTGGCAGGAACGGATCAGCCATGTGCCTGGCTACGATGTCGTAGTGCCGAGCCGATGAATTTGCCTTTGGTTTAGGCCCACGTCGACGATGTTTAACGTCACCGGTCTCCGCATATCTGTGCACCCATAACTGCACGGATCTCCTCTGTTGATACCAAACAAATAAGTATTTAAAATACCAGGAAATACTTTACAGGAATTAAAGTTACTTAAAAATAATAATAAATATAAGTAAACACAATGTTAGAATAATAATTTATAATTAAGTAGTGGCGTAAGGAATAAAAATCCCTAACCAGATATGTTTTAAAGAAACACTCCTAACAAAAACAAGTCAAGTTACAATACAATTAATAATAAATTATTAATATATCTTTATAATATTGAACTTCATAATAAGTTGCAATAATTATTTTATTCTAGTGCAAAAATTGGTGTGTCGAGTTACAAAATAAAATAAATATTATTTAGAATATCAACGTAGTATCTTATTTACTCACCGATATCATTAAACGCCTTGCTATTTCAGTTATTGTTAGTTATGTTTTGCTCATGCAAAACAATGGTTTCAGCCTTTTTAAATGTTGATAGGTGTTGGAACATCTTGTAAAAATAAAAATAACTTTGCACACGAATATAAGTAGTGTAGCAATAAACTATGAAATCCTCATAAATTGACAACTAAGAACGCAATTATTTTGTAAGTCGGGTGATTTGAAAAACATGTTTTAAATAGTCGGTAGTTACTTCATAAGCGTGTAAAATAAAATGACTCGAGATTTCTATGGTCGCCACAAACATTGCAAATATACTCAGGTATCGAACCATTAAGAAATCACAGTTAATTACTTTTTTACTGTTTTATCTTATTTAAGTTGGTTGAAATGCATGAAGCAAATGAGATTATTCTAAATAATAAATAACTAGAACTAAAATATAAATAAAAGATATTATAGGTATAAATAAATCTAAAGTATTTACTATTAAAATTAACATAAGATTTAGAACAATAGGAAAGGAAAAAAAAGAAAAGATTTAATTGTTTCTAATTTCAAATTTCAAATATTTGATAAATTAATTCTAAAACAACATGTGAATGTTGGAATCGATCCGGCGGCACTTTACTTGACAATTGGAGGCGATAACCATTGCGCCAAGCGCGCTGTAGATGAGATCATCGAAATATTTTATATCATTCAGTAACATAAAATTACAATGAGAAAGCACTATATTTATATGGGTATTGTATAGCTCGATCGTTCATTATTTTTGATTTCGATTTATTCAAAGTTTGTTATGAGTAATTTTATCTTTACCCTCGTTTTTATTTAAACTTATTTACTAAATTATTGCGTATACCGACACAAAAATGATTTTTAAATACCAAGATGTGTGTGATAGACGAATGTTTCTATACATATCTATTGATATGAAATTACCCACACATGTATATTGTGTAAATGATAGTTGTGTCGATGTGTAGCGCCGCTAACTAATTAGCGGTGCTTTGTGTACATACCCAAGTATACAAGTAATTATCGTGTTGTAGTTTTTATTTAGTCATTGCAATTGTTTTTTAGTTTCAGTAGGCAATACTTGAAGTTCTACGTTAGCAATAAGCATAAGTTCTTGTTTTTTTTTTATTAAGGATTCACGTTTGCTTTTCTCAATATGGGTACATCAATTACATCAATCAGCAAACAATCTTTTGAAAATCATCTTCGTTTTCAGAGGTTTTCAGTTCAGTAGCGCCATCTGTACCTTGAAGCCTCAACTACTAACACCATTAATTATTTTTCAATGCGTGGTTATTTTATAAACCCTATTGCTAATTTTATAGCTATAACTATATACTATAATTCATATGTATTTAGAAACGTAGAGAACGTAGAGATAGCAAAGTAGGACAGTTTTTGTATTTACTTCAGCTACTGACTACGAGATGGCGCTGTTATCAATAATACATTTTGAAGATTCGATTCTAATGGAAAATATTTTGTTTTTAAATTGGATTTAAGAATTATAATCATAAACATTTCCAATTGTCGTACTAGGTAATTCGTAATAGATGATTCGTAAATCTTGTCTTTTTAACATGTGACATGAACTCTTAATGAAGGAGGTTTACCTTGAAGGTTGGGATTTTTTTCCATTTGTCTCTTTCTTATATTTAATAGGTCAGCGTTACTTTAAAAGAGAATGAATATAGGTACGTAGTTTTTTTTATTATAATTGTTCACTTCGATCGAGGTCAAAGTGTACTGAGCATATTTTTGACATCAAACAATGCTAAACTTCATAACTTCACGCTATTTATTCCCGAAGGGGTAAGTAGAATTGCAAATTACGGCACTTAATGCTACTGTACAATGTAACTGGGTGTTACTTTGTACTTTTCACTATTTATGTTATGAGTCCTATGTAATAGGGTGTGAGCCTATTCCCATATACCTACCTATTCCAGAATCCGTGCTACAACTGAGTTTTTTTTAAGAACCCAGTAATACTTTGCCCGACCCGGGAATCGAACCCGAGACCTCTTGCCCGACAGTCGCACTTGAGACCACTCGGCCAATGAGGCAGTCTATATCGCAGGACAATGCTAAACATAGGTAGGTACCTATTCTCGCTAGAATAAAACTAGGGATGACTTCATATTTAAAATTTGTCAAAATAAAACCATGATGTTCTGATGATTCTTTATTTTCTTATAGTTATAAGTAAATATTAATACTTAAGATACAATAAGAAGTTATTTTGTTCCTACAAATAAGTTCTCCGCTTGCTTAAAACAATTCACAGTACCTCGGTGTTGTTACTACTAAATTTAAAATTAAGTAGTATTTACAGATCAAAATATTAAAACATTTTTTTAGAACTTACTAAAAGTTAAGATGTTTATTTTTTTTTTATTTATAACTTAATTTTTTTATTTGAAGAAATTGTGTTTTGAGGTATGATAGTAATACTAAGCGCGTAACTAGTAGACTAGTTTTTCAAAAATCTAAAAACATAAGTTACTACAGCTATGCGTGACCCAACATTTAGTTTTAAACGTTGGACGAAGATTTACAAATTGATATGACTTTATTGTTCATTCTAAAACTTATCTGATTTTCATTTTATTTTATACACGTCGCCGGTTGCAACAGAAACAAAAAAATAAAAATAAGTGGCAGTGTTTTTATTGTTTGTTTTCATTTGTCAAGTTGTTTAAAAAGAGGATCAAAACGACAGTTAAGAAAGAACAAGCAAATACGGTCTCAAAGAAATCTAATTTACAAAATGTAATTAAAATAAGGTTGTATTAACCGGCGACATTACATTTAATCAACGAGTTCCATCATAACTGCTTAAAAATATCATACAAAAACTTACACAAAATGTGATTTAACTTCATAAATGCGAGGACTACAATAACTGGCAGTTTAGTAAAAAAAGTATAAATTTATTAGGTTTTTAACTAAAAATAACAAACAAATTGGAACGTAAACTTACATGGCTAATTAAACACGAAATGCCAATTACGATGTACGACACTTTCTTGTTAATGTTTTTATTTTATTTTTAATAAATACACTTAAACTGTGAGAAAGTTAATGATTATTATTTGCAATATTTCAACTTTGATACTGGTGTGCCTACATCGACGATATTAAATTTTATATCCATTAATATTATCAACATTCTCGAAACTATAGATAAGATTAAACATTTTAGTAATCTACATTTATATTTTCTCATAAAACTTACTGACTAGTACATTATAAATACAAAAATAAAACAAGATTACCACGACGAACTTAATTTAAAAGCACAGCATTAGACATTATAATAATAATAATCAAAACGTGTGGAATACAAAACAAACGAAATAATATTAAAATAAAACTAGATGTAGTAACATCTTAGAAGAATATATGAAACAGTACCAACATGTTCTACACTCGTTCGCGACTTAACATGTCTGTAACTGGTTCGTGAAGAGTCACAAAATACATTGTACAAAAGAGAGTTGGTCATGATAAGGTAATTCAATTTGAATTAAATGTAAGTAGGTAAACAATAATACTCATTAATGATTCCATGTACATAAATGAGTACATAACAGCAAGATGAAGTACTAAAGACTACAAAGTTAACAGGTGCAATAATGTGGTAACTACAACTAGATTGACAAGACTCACACTGGATTGCAGTTATTTAAAGTATGGATAAGCTTAACTTGTATGATTCGAGTAGACAAAGAGTCGTAAGTTCTGGCTACTCTACGAAGAAGAGAAGAAGAACAATGGAATGGCACTTCACGACGTTGGCTTAAACCACACGTCCAACGACGAGACGATTGGTCGACAAGTAAGGAAACCACGCTATGAGTTTCTACCACGTCGACGACACCTCGTCCAACATTGATTCCTTAACAATAGGCGACGCATTCTCACTCAATTGATACTAAAACAATTAATAAATGAGGCACACGCTAGTGATAGGAATCAGAACTATCGTAAAGTGTCAGCAATAAATATTAATAAAAGCAAAGTCATAAGAAGATCGGAAAATCGCGAGGAACTTAAATTAATATCGATGAATAAACTTAATCGATTTTTGAATAATCGATGGGTAAAGTTAGTCAAAGTCGAATCGATTAGCCGGTGTTGCGGTTCGATTTGGGTGGGCCAGCGGGGTGGTGCGGGAACTCCATGTTGAACTCTTCGACGATAGTCTTGGGGTGCAGGGCGCTGATGTTGTTGTCGACAGTGTAGGTCCTGGCGTGGGTCTGCGCGAGAGCTTGCCTGGGCTCGTTCACCAGCCAGTCGTCGTCACGTAGTCGCTTGCGCCGAGCAACTTGTTTGTCTCGCAGATGTCGCAGCCGCGCGAGGTGAGCGTTCACCTGCTGCGGAGTGAGCCCGGTGCGGCCGGAGCGGAGCAGCTCAGCGTTACGTTGGTATGAGCCTTCAGGGTCGCGGCGATTCCATGTGTAACTGTAATTGAAACATTATATTAGGTACACTTAGGTACATTTCAGCAAATTAAATGATATCGTTGGTTAATTTTGGAAAGAGTTTCCAATTACGCATAGTGGCATTCTGTAACCACAGTATAAATTCTAGCCGATCCACCAACAGGAAATTGGAAAGTAGGTTTACTCTCATGGTTCATGTACAGCATTAATAAAACGACTAACTGGCAAGGCTAGTCTAGTTGTTGAAAAACGATTAGCAAAGCATCTGTAAAATGTTCTCCTAGTGCCAAGCTTTCAACGTTCGACATAGTTGGCAGTACACGCAGACAAGAGGAAAGCTGTTTACCATCTCACACTCACCAATATTGGTGCAAGAACAGCCAATATTTCGTCCAACGCAAACATTGCTCGATAAGGGAGAAGCGATTGCAGTTAATTTGATCTATGTTTGCAATAAATGTACATTTAATGTGTTTTTGTTCGAAAGTATGTGCTCCGAGAAATTGATGGCCGTTGGTCTGGTAATGGAGAAAGTTGGCCAAACATTAAGTTTTATTAATGGGCCGTGCGTTTTACGACATAACTTTTTCATTTTTTGCTACACGTGCGATAAACTTTTTTTAATGCTTTCATGCAATGTTTGTTTTGTGTAAAATGTAAAGTTTTATTTTATGCATTATTTATTAAAGACACGTGATGTTACACTTACCCTGGGAACGGTCTCTTGAGCCTTCGGTGGACGATGGGCCTCGATCGCTTCTTCAGCTCATTCGGTCTCAAATCATACTTGGAGGTAGGACTGTTCGTCCTCGTGCCGTGTCGCTTTTGTCCTCTAGGGTAGGGGTTGGGGCGCAGATCGTACGATTTCGGATGGTGTACAGGGTTCACAGTGACGTCATTTATCATCATGGGATCATTAACCTCCCTACTGACGCTTGGTGCAGTGATTTCGTTGATCTGTCCCATTCGTTGCCAGCGACGACGCAGGTCCTTCACTTTGGCCTTTGGCACCTTTTGCAGTTTAGTTTGGCAGATGTAGTGACGAGCTTCGACGCAGTTGCGAGGTGACCACCTGAAGCAATTAGCGTCGAGATGATTAATCGTTTCAATTAGTGAGCAATGTTTGGAAGTTGTAGGGCCGTGCATTGTGTATTTTCTGAGAATTTGGACACAGTAATGCAATTCGATTACATACCAAAACAACATGATTTAGTATAAACTTTTAAGATTCAGAGAAACTTGAATATGAATATCAAAAAAGATTAATACTATTTAAGCAAATGGCATCTGGTAATATAACAAATAATTATTGGAATGATTAAACCAGTACCGTAGCCACTAAGCAATGTGGGCCATTACAATGATCGTTATGTGCCCTACATACTGTAATATAAATACTATCATTGTTCCCATGTGAAACCAATGATTACTCGGTACTCCATAAGGCGCCAACGGCTTGTCCTTCAAACTTTAAACCATAAAATTGACTGCTAAAAATAGGTGATTAGGTGTCTGATGACGTCACAAGACCCACAAACCACGTTGTCGTAAAATTTATTGTATTTCTCAGAGTTGTCGACCTGTCGTATGGTGCAAGCCATAGGAGAGCATCAGAAGAAAAAAAAGTTAGTCTTTATTGATTTAATGAGGTATAAGTACCATTTATTGAAGCAATTTAGGCTTCTATATCATTGTAGAGGTATATTGGTGGCGACAGATTGACAATCAATTTCGCGCGTTTAAAAAATGAGGTCCGTGACCTGTGGCGCCTTTTATTAGTCATATCAGTTCTAGTAAGTGTTTATTACTTTTATTTAACGGACGACATCATAAATGGGATCCTATTGGCTGTAATATAAACTATTTAGGATAGTCGTTACAGCCAGCGAGAGGGTTTAAGATCTGGTATCGAATGCATCAAGAATCTCAGCGAACTGACTACATATTGCAACGTTTCCATGTAACTTTGTTATTTAATTTTGAAAAATGTTAGAATATTATCATTGTATATATATATTTTTATTGTTATTCCATTATTATTATTATATGTATAATATTATAATAGTCACGGGCAAGTGCTGAAAATCAGCGCCGCAACTCTCGTGTCACGGCATTTAAGCTGAGCTCTGGCCTTTTTGCGCCGTCTTTATTGTATTGTTTTTTATTTTATTTTTTTGTGTCATTGTACCTTGTGACGGTGTGCAAATAAACGCATTTTCTTTCTTTCTTTCTTCTTTCTTTCTTTGAGCCAAATATGGTTAACCCCTCGAGTGTCCTTATTAGCACCCGATCATAAGAAAAAATGCTCCAAATACGCGTGCACCCGTTGGATCATAAGGAACGCGGACGCTCGACGGGTTAAGACTCAGTACCATTTTGTTTAAAAACGCTTATAGAATGTGACTTGAAGTTCAAAAGAGTTTTGATTTAAACTCAAACCAAGAACGTGAGGTTTAAACGAAATCCTGTCCGAAGTTTGGAAACAGTCTCACATTTGTCATTTGTCAAAATCGTTTCGCCAAAACTATTGGTTTAATGTTTTTCGCCGATTATTTTCCAAGCGTGCAGTTTTTATAAACATACAAGAGTTCATCTCAAATTTCTCGATTTCGAAAAGGTCCGCAACATACTTGTAGCTTCTCTGATGTTGCGAGTATCTATGAGCGACGTCGATTGCTTACCATCAGATGCATCATATGCCATAAAAGAGTTAGGTACCTGTAAAGCAAGTCTGGCATCATAGCGATGCAATGCCACTTCAGTTCCTCCGGGGTCATCTTCTTCATCTTGGAGAAGGATTGGTAATGCATCTTGCGGAGATCTCCTCCCCACCGCCAGGACCTGGCTCCATAGTCGTAGATACCACCAATCCACCTACTTTCTTTCACTGTGAATAGAAATTGTGAAAATTAAATTCGCATGCAATAAGAACCTAAGCATTTGTTTGTGTGATCCACAAAGCAGACACCAAGCACAACAATTCAAAATGAGAAAGGGTCCCCATAGTATATCTTTCAATCTTTTATGGTCTACCAGTATTGGGTTCTATAACAATGATCATAAAATCATAAACGATGCAAATAATGTGGACCTACTATGATAGGATTCTACTAGGTGTTTACTGTATGTTGGTCTACGTAGGTAATTCAAATGTTAACACGAAAACTTTCATAAACTGCTATATAAATATTCTTTAAGGGAACATTAAGAGCTTTTTTATCACCAAACTTTTTCACTAACCATTTATCGTGTTAGTAAAAATAGTGATTTGCTATATTACCATTTTATTAATGGTAATTTACTTTTTTTACAATATTGTATGTTCATCATTGATGATACTCACCGACATCAGGTTTATTAAGGTATTTGCGAAGGTTCCTGTCTTCCCAACGAGCTGGCACCGTCAAGTTACTGCCTCGGTCCTGAAACAAAACACAACTACGTTATGAAAGTGTTCAATCAAATCAATATGAAACATAAAGCTCAGTGATTAAGTTCATTTCTCTATTTCAAAATTTACCATCGTCCACCCTCATTCTACAATGTAATGTCTCATTCTATTATGTTTGTGTTTTCATTGATTTTTTTTATACCACGACTGTGGCAAAAAAAAGCACACAGCCCACCTGATGGTAAGCGGTTACTGTGGCAACCTTGCCGATCTTAACAAACCTATTCACTCCCCTCTTAAAGAACCCCATGTTGTAGCCCATTGGGAAAACCACGGGAGTTCATTCTACAATCAGAGGGTCCGTGGAAGGAAATTCCTCTGAAACCAATTTGTTTCACTTTCATCCTACATCAACATGACCCGTATGTTTAGATTCTTAATCCATTATACATAACGTATCTTTCCCATCTTTAACCTATTTACTATCAACTTATTCTATTCTATGTTTTTGTTCGCCTTCAGTATCAAAGGCTTACTTAAGAAAACCTTTCGCAAGGAGTCAAAACAATTTTACGGCACCACAGTGGCCAACTGTGACGTCACCTAATGACAAAATTTCGTCATTTATATGCTTATTACCTGTAATTCTGATTGTTATTCAAGCAAAGTGCTCTACAAGTCCTGTTTCAAGCATATCAAGTATAAGTCTAGGAATTACTTTTATGATCTATATAGTACCACATACCGTTGGGTTTTCCAAAATTTATTGTCAATTTATATTTGTATTCATTATGAGGGCTACGCGAAATTGCTTGTAAGGCTGTGGGCAAGAATTAATTGAATTAGGGACACTTCTTTGAAATAATAATGAGGCTTGATTGGCTGGGCCTAACTGGTGTTGCGATGTGTGTGAATCACTTAGTGTTTTAGTATTACGTTGTCTATGCTATGTTTTGACACATTTTGAGGTGGTTTGTAATCTTGACAGTTTTGTACTTTGTTTAAAGAAGAATTAGGTATCATAGGATACTTCCTTTGATGAAACTACTGTTTCATCTGCCTTTCAGTGGATTACACAGGATTTTCCCACGAATTAACATTCATAGTTACATTATGATTTGCATATTTATCATTATAGTCAACGCGCAATAATTTTAATGTATTATTTAATTCATGACACGTGTTAGTTTAATGATCACGCTGTTGTTAATATACGAACAGATTTTATTTCTCTAGAAGTGTTTGCGGATTTTTCAGAAATCGTTTCAAGTGCCTTGAGCCGTCGAGCCTGTTTGATCAAACGTGACTGATGGATTCTGACCTAAATCTCAACGATTTTGGTAGCGAGTGTGTGATCTTAAAATAATGATGTTATTGTTGCAATATTTTCAAACGCCACTGCTTATTGTTGTTCAAATAATTCTTGAGTATTTGCCAAGTGTTGGTTTGTACGTGAAATGGAGCAATTAACAGTAAACATAAAATTGTTACTAGTAGCTAATGCAATTATTTGGGGAAATTGGGACGAATTACTTTGAGGCTATCGGCTGCAAGCACGAGTGGTCCTTGGCTCATTAGGTTCCTATTTTTTTTTAATTTGGAATTAATTGACGCGTTGGCCGAGTGGTTTACCAATGCTCGTCATAAAACTGTTTAATTATGGCTTGCTTTAAAAGTCAGATCATAAACAACATTAGTAGTTTTATTTGTTTATTTTACATGGAATGTAACTAACGATTATTTTAAAACAATTCCTGGTGTTGCCAATTAAACAATGATTTATGCCATTGTTACTAAAATATCGATGCGCATACATTCACGATCGTATCAACTGAGCACTGACAATAATAAATATCTCTTTAATATCTACTTCAAAGAAACGATTGTCATTTGTCGTAAAGGGTTCTCGGAAGGCAAATTTTTGTCTCAGTACATTCTCTGGTCCATTTGTCAAATCTAATACAGGCGTTTGATCATGTGAAATTCTTACAATAATAGGTATGATGCGACCTATCCTTAGGGTTGTCAATCTTCATATTGTATGTCAGTCATTAGCCGATTTTCGGAACCCAATAACCACATGTATGTTGATGAAGTCATCAGGCTAAAGAAGTGTTTATTGTCAATTGTTCCAGTTTGCGAATAATGTTCATAGTATCTAAGGCGCCGGCCGCTCTTTGAAGTCACCATTTACTACGAAAGAAGTAATGAGGAGCAATCTTTTGGCTGATGAATAGTAAATATACAGCAGCGAATAGAGCTAGCAAAGACATTTTTAAAGCATTTAAAGGTATAATTACGTATTTATCATCTAAATTACGTACAATTAATAATTACTCACAACTGTATATTTACGAAGCTTCATCGTTAAATTAACCACATAATTTCCATAATAATCTTATTATTTCATGACTATAAAGTGAGAACTAGTCATGATGATCGCGATTACGTAAGATAATGTAATAATTGATAATCTAATGGTTGTAATCTGAGGTATTTCTCGTCCCTAGTCCTATTTATTGGCAACATTCCGCGCTAATTCAACACGTTTGCGCGGGGAAACTGCCAAGGTTCGTAGTAAAGAGGTTGTTATCTATGATTAACACCTTCAAGCTTTTTATTAACGGTAGGGCTTCATAATTTTCTTCTTTATGGTGATGTATTTTTTATTTGTCTTCAGGGAGTAACTCTTTGTGCAAATAATAGGTAAATTAAAGAAAATTTATAGTCTTTGTATGTATTCTGGAAAGTCATAATAAATTTGAGGGAAGCAACTTTTCCTTTGAAGGATTTCCCAATAGGTATCTAACCCATTTTAAATCCGAGAGTTATACAGCCATATTAAATTACTAAATTACTACTATCCTCGTCTATCAGATGTTTCGTATAATGGGGATGTTAAACAAATCAGTTCAATGACCTCGCGAAGTTTAATAGGTGCTAATAGAAATTCCTATCGTCTATTGCCAATAACGATTTATGGGTTATTGAAAAATGATTTAAAATTACTTCGGTGTAGGCTGGTAGCCATTATGGTCAAAATTTTGGCGTAACGAGTATGACTATTATGAAGTATTATGTCATATATGGTTAAGATAGACTTCCAATGGAATACTAAAGTGGGGGCAAATCCCCTGACAACGTTGCGTCGATCGATCAACTATGACTACGGTTGGTAGTGAACGGATTGAGTTTTCTACGTATTTTTAGTTTACACAAATAATTCATTCCATAATGCATTGTTAGAAACTTCCTAACACTATAATTATACCGTTTATGTCTACAATGAATCACAGAATAGGACGCATTAATTATTTCTTTGGTCTGAGACATAGAGCCAAAATAACAATAAACATATCGAAATAAAACATGGCGGTATCGGTAACAAAATAAAGAATATTATTTTGCACTGAGTAGACATGATTAAGTATTTAAAACAAAACGATTATGTTATGAGTAAATGTTTGTTTGAAAAACTCGTTATTTAATAACAGAGAATTAATTATCGCTTCATAATATTCGTAATCTTGTTTGGATTGGTCATCGACAATATGGAAGCCATCAATATGGCGCAGCGCGGGAAATATTTTTATGTTGTCTGTGCTCAGTGACACTGACAATGCCTATTTTATATTATTCTAACGAATCTGAAATTATGTTGTTTTATTTATTGGAGGCAGTGAATATTATTTTTGAATGAATATATTCAACACATCGTCTTTTCTTTTTAATGTGAAATTAATATAATTATTCATAACAAAGTAAAGTAAAATCTTATATTAGGTATTTTGAAATTTAAACAACATGATTAAGATTTTGTGGTTTATTTTTGTGTCCACAAAAATACAACAGATACAAAAAAAAACTTTAATAGTTTAAAATGTTGTGACAAATACCTAGATGACAAGTTAGAATGCAAACTAGACAGTTTGATGACAGTTAATATCACCACAAACTCAAATAAAAAAAAAAGTTTTAAATCACAAATCTACACAAACTAGTCTTAATCATGGTTGGAACGCATCCAAAAAGGTCAAGGATTAGCCCGCTACTCTAATTCTTTCCTTTGTGTTCTAAAGCGCATTTAAAATAAGAATACCATATGGTTAGCTTTAAATTATTAGTTTTTCTTTTATTGGCCACTCGAGCTTGTTGCTAAGCGATGCAGCGTGCTGCCTCGTTTAAATTTCCAGTTTTTAGGAGAGTGAGTAACCACTTGATTAGATAGTGAAAAAACTGGATAATTAACCAAATGTATGCCAATTTTTTATAAGTATTATAGAGATTTTATCCACGTGCTCTGTTGGAAAGTTGTTTAGGTGTGTGTATGTAGCTGACCGATAGGTTTAGATTAAAATGAATAGTCTCCATGTTCAGAACTCCTAACAATTTAGATTTGTAAGGACTGTTAAATGAACTGCAGTTTTGGAATCCTTCTTTCATTGTGTACAATATTTAACACAACAAAGTTACCCATGCGAATAAAGCAAGTAAAAGGCACTTAACTAAACATTTTCTAAGTCCTCAGAGTGACGTCTAAACGAACCTTATATCTCGTAAGCAATTTAACCGTCTCCGGCCGTTTGCGGTGCGTCCAACCTTGGCTTTGAAGATATTTGTGTTACAAAAACAATGTAAGTGAGTTAACATGTTTGCAGGTTAGCAATATGTTTTATTACGCATTTCCTAATAATATGTATCATGTTTCGAATACTGGAGTAACCAATTACGTAACTGTAGCTGTGGAGTTTTGGGATGTTTAGTAAATATGGTTTAAGGTAGGTAATGGTATGTTTCCTTGCCATCAAAACTAGTAATTAGAAGTGCACCGTATAAAATCAAAGTGAAAGTCAAAATCATTTATTTCAATTAGACCAGAAAGGCACTTTTGAACGTCAACAAAAAATTAAAAGTGAAGCTATTTGCTCATTCCAAGGTGTAGATTTCTATGGAGAAGAACAAGCAAGAAACTCCATAGGTTACCTCTTTTTCAACCAGGTTTACAATACAATTCTCTAGTTACATAGTTTTGTTGTTTGGATTGTGCGAGAACAAACACTAAAATCTAATCAAGGAGATCGATGAAGAAAATAACCTTATGGACAATAATTCATACAGTCTGGAGCTGACCA